TCAAACTTAAAGTAAGATTCAAGATGGTGAATTCAAAACAATATATGTCAGTTTGTTAACCAGCTACTGAGATATAACAATAAGTAAAAGAAAGCATGAGTGCAAGATCATGATGAAAATTTAGCATCAAAAATGCGGTAGAACCTTGCTACAACATAACTTAAGGTTGTTGCAGCAATAGTTCAGAACAACACTAATGCATTGAATACCCTTTTTTTACAGTGCATATTAGACCTCTTACTGACACTACCCAAAATGAGTATAAATCCAAGCAAATATATTGCATTTCTTTCCATATATGAAGGTTGTTACAACTCTTATAGTCTCTATTAACACTATTGGTAAACATATTTGTGGTGTGTTAATTTTAAGTCCAACTCATCTAAGTAAAATTACATGTGTTGAATAGTCAAAAATTACGAGATGATATATTAAACCCAAGAGTGAATAGTGAAGTAGATTACTATAGCAAAAGCAATTATCCAATAACACACGACTTATTCTTTTAACCTTCAGTCACACCTAAGTTAGGGTGTTTAGCTTATCATTGCTGGAATTAAATACTTGAAAGTAAATAACATGAAAGTAACTTGCTAAAAATGTAAATATGCAGAAAATATGAAGTCGTGAAAACAATAGCAGTTGTTGTAGCAACAAGCCTTAACCAAAGATTAAGAACTTGAAATTGAAACTACGTTATTACACAAGAGAGTTGGCAAGATCAAAGCTTAGAAAAGCTTGATATATCTTCCATAATCAACACTACTAGCTCCATTAGGCACATTATCTAAAAGGTATAAACCAAATACAAAAGTCAACTTCTAAAAGTACTAGGCAATAATTTTCTTCTTTCCATCACCTGAGTTATTCCTTCCAATCTCCAACTTTTCTTCAAAAAGGGAATAATGTTTAGATCGCCAACTCAGCTAGTTTAAGATGATGCAACATGTTGCTACAGCAAGTCAACAAATTACTTTTGTTTATCTTTTTCAAATACAAACATGACCAAAATTTTGTAACTTAGCTCCAGACTCAGTAAAAATAAAATAAGAATAAAAGACGCAATTAGTAATTGGGATAATAAAAATAAGATAAAATGAAATAATAAAAAATGTGCTAAAATGGGTATGTCGTTACACTTATCAACTCTCCATGTTTATTGTCTCCTTCAGTATCCATTGTTGTTGATAATTTATTAAGCATGAAAGATGTAGAAAAATCATGGAATCTTCAAGAATTCGTTTGAAATTGGTGATGATTCATCTCGTTTAAAGACAGATATAAGATTTTAGGAACAACCATATAATGAAGCCATGACTGTGTTGTTAAATCCCATGTTTGCCTTTATAACTTACAATCTCAAACGGAAATACATACTAAGACTAGCTACATTACAAAAATACCACCACCGTCCCTTACAAATTCTGATAATATATATATATATATATAGAGAGAGAGAGAGAGAGAGAGAGAGTCTCATTCTTTTGCAAATCGTCTAAATATTACAAACCGTGCAAACAGGGGTATTTGTGTCTTTTTAACTGATTCATATTTTAGGGATAATCACCTTCCCTAAGTATCTCATATAATGTCATATTTAATGGATTTATTTTAGGAATAATCTTCTACTTAATAATCTCATTTGGTTGCTGATAGCGAAAATCGTATAGGTCTAAAGAAGGGGCCTCCTGTGTTGCCACAGTGGTAGTTCGAGTGCATATTAGACACTATGATCATTATAAGTAATAAAGTGGTAAAGATACCGAGATCGTTTCCACAGGGATTGAACTTCAGAGTTTCAAGTACTAAGTCGAGAATACACTGATTTCAATTAAAGAAAAAGAATTTACTTTTTTATTGAGTTTGGTGTTTTTAACAATTTAAGTAAAAAAATTAATTAATTTAAAGAAATGGGTATGGGTATAAGCTTTCCCTAGACATTTGTGGTAATGATAAAGTTAAAGAAATTTGCCACAAAAATGTTTATGGAAGTCCTTATCTCGAAAGTGAACTTCCACAAAGAGTGGCCATATGTCCCCACCAAGTCACCATTTTTGCCAACTAACGACCTGTCGATCCAACTAAGTTGATTTCCATGAGTCGTAGTTCTACCGGACGGGGATCAATGCTTAAATCTCTTTGTAACTAATCTCAACCAACATTTGAGCCTAAGTCAAAATCATGCAAAAACCTGTATCTCTACGTATTCATAAAAACTTTCTCAAATCTTTTTGCATTACTCAAGTCGTATTTCCAAATCCGCCCATCTCTTGGTCTAAAATTTAATATTAACACTTAAAAGTGATTGTCTTGTCCACATTGAATTAAAGTCCCTACTCAAATGACCAAGTCTAAGAGTTAGTAAAAATGGCAACACCATTAGTTTTAGCTTTTGACTCACACCCACACCCAAATGGGTGCTCAGATAATACTTAGAGTAATGAACATAATAGAAGAATAAGAATACTTAAAGATTGCTTAGATTGACAAATAAACTACAAATTATGGATAATTATGTCCTTATTGTAGAGGGAATATCAAAACTCAAAGACTTAGGTAAGGTGACAAAGGAAAAGTGTATCAGTCAAGTGTTAAATAAAGATGGTCTATGTCATTTCTAGAGTTTCAAGGTTTAATCAATATAGATACCGAGAATTGGTGTTTAGTTCTAGAAATTTGGTAGTAATGGATAGATTATTCAAACTATGAAAAAAAAAAATCTAAGGATATAAGATGCATGAGACTTTTTTTTTATTTCGTTTATTTTTATCCAAATCTTTTTTATACTAGTCAAAAAAGAACAGACTCAAATAACATACACAAAAGTATAAAATAAAAGACATAAAGTTAGAGCTGAGAGTAAGAAGACAAGTTTGCATTAAGGTTATGTAGGACGCTGATAAACGTGCAAAAAAACATATACTTTAGCACCTAAGTATGACTTTATTTCACTCCATTTTACACCTTTCTCAATCCTATATTAAGTTTTTTAGTCTTATTTTATGGTTTGACATTCAATGGAGCTAGGAGAACTGGTACTATTTTATGTATTTGATGAATGAAATGCTGACATAAGCATTGTTGTAGTAGGTGTGTACGTCGTTGCAGCACTAGATATTAGCACAGCTGGCTCAATCTCGTTAGATATTTTGAAAAGTCAAATTTGGAGGAGTGCATCTTCTAGTACTGCTGGCAGATGATTATGATAGAAGATACCATTGAAAAATACCTTACTTTGTACTTAAGCATCTTTTGTATTATCCATTGGATCAGTTCATCGATGGTCGGGAAATAGATTAACCAATGGTTATTTACCTTTTGTACTTTTGATTCCTCTTAGCTAGTATATATATGGGGGGTAATCTTTCGTTTAGAGAGTGGGAAGAAGAGAGTTTCACAAGACCATCAGAAATAAAGCTTCATCTAAGCTTGAGTCCTTGCTACTTTTAATATTACTTTGCAGTTTTTAAGTACTTTTTAATTGTTCTTCGTCACTGTCTGTTGCTACAACAACCTTTCCAGCTTTTTCTTTACTTTTCTTGCAGAATTTACTTTTATGTCATATACATACGATCATTTCGATTTATGTCATTTATTTTTAAGCACTTATATTCAATCATGATAGGCTAAATACCTTAGTATGGATGTAAGTGAAGGTTGTAAGATTAAGTCAAGTATTAGTCGATGATTGCTTTGCTAATAGTAATTTTACTTCACTATTCACAAGTGGTATCAATATTTCATCTAGTAATTTTTGACAAATTGATACATGTATAATATTTAGATGAGTTGGACTTAAGATTAAGACAAGACAAATATTTTTACTAAGTGTGTTATAGAGGCTATAAAGAGTCATAGTAATCTTAAGGGTTGCAAAACTATATGGAAAGAAAGGTAAGGTTTGTACTAGTTTGGGATTAATGCATCACCAAGTGCATTTCCAACATATGGTCTAATCTGCATTTCCTTGAAAGGTCATTCAATCCAATAGTGTTGTAGGGACCTATTGATGTAGTAATGTTCATTGCACTTCGTTGCTGAAATCCAACTGATCTTGCATCCATACTATCTTTTGATTGTTGTTACATTTTAGTATTTGGTTACCAACTCTGTCAAAGTTATTTACTCTTTGAAGCTTTATTACTTCCAAACACTCCTTTTGGAAATCTCATTTTAAAGTTAACTTTTGTGACTCTCTTTGCATTTTAAATCTTTATGGGACGATATTCGGTATTACTTACCACTATTACTTCCTTTGGAAGATACTTGTAAGCCATGTATACTTGCATGATTTACTTGTTAATATAACCTTTTGAGGGTATAGATCTCCACACACCAAGTTTTTTGCGCCGTTGCCGGGGATTTTAGCCAAAAAGAGTTTTTCTTTAAGTTACTTTAAAATTTTATTTTTCTACCATCAAATGTTCTTTTTAGTGGTTTATGACAAGGATACCTCACAGAGCTATTTTTGAATTAGATCTGGACATTGAAAGAACCTTTAGAAGAAGAAGAAGAAGAAGAAAGGTACAAAGAAATTTGTTGCCTATTCTAGCTGCTTCTGAAATGGCTCAATTTGGACCTGATCCAAGACTCAATCTTGAGGAGGAAGTTATTAGGCTTGCAAATTCAAAGACTGGTGGCATCATGAACTACACTATTCCAATGTTAAATCAGTTATACCATGGAATACGTAGGCTCACTATTGATGGTGACCACTTTGAATTTAAGCCCATCATGTTTCACATGTTACAAACAAAGAATCAATATGTTGGATTACCATCTGAGGATCCTCATTTGCATCTTAGATCTTTTATGGAAGTCACTGACTCGTTGATTCTTAATGGAATTCCTGATAGAGCCTTAAGGCTGAAGTTATTTCTTTTTCATTAAGAAACAGAGCCAAAGTGTAGTACAACTCTTTGCAACCAGACTTAGTCACCACATAGAGTGAGATGACTGAGAAATTTTTAAAAAAATATTTTCCCCCAACCAGGAGTGCCAAGTTCAGAAAATGAAATTTATCTTTTTAAACAACTAGACGATGAAGTAGTTCCTGATGGTTGGTAGAGGTACAAGAAATTACTAATGAAATGCTCACATCATGGCATACTCTACTACATACAGTTGGAAACATTTTACAATAGTCTTGACACTATTGTTAAACAAATGTTTCGATGTTACTGCGGGTGGAGCCTTTACTTCCGGTACCTAAAATGATGGTTTTGATATTTTGGAGAAAAACAATGGTCATTGGGCAAATCCTAGAGTAATAATACCCAGAAAAGCAATATGCATTCATGAAATAGATCCTTATACAGCTCTTACAGCATAAGTAACAACAATGACTAGCTTGTTGAAAAACTTGGTTGTCCCTGCTGCTAACATTGTTGCTACAACAACTGCTTTTGAATCCTTACATTTCCAATGCGTATATTGTGGTGCAGGTCATACTTTTGACCAATGCAACCTTAACTCTAAATCTGTGAATTATGTGCACAATAGACCTGCCCAGTTTTCAAACACCTGCAACTCTAGTTGGAAAAACCATCCTAATTTCTCTTGAAATAGTCCATGTTTAAATCCATCAGTTGTAAAAGAGCAAAGATAAGGTTTTCAACCAATTGTTTCTCAAAGTCAACCTGCTCATTTTCAGCATCAGTCTAATTTTCAAAACAAGTCAAACCAGCAAAGTGATTCATCCATTTCTTTGGAGGCATTGTTAAAAGGTTTTATAAATCAAACCAACTCAGCAATGAATCATCAAAATGCTAACAACAGAACTTTAGAAACATAAATTGGTCAAATAACATTAGAGTTGAGGAACATGCATGTTGGAACTTTACCAGTGATACTGAGATCCCTAAGATACTGACCAAAGAGCATGTGAAAGTTGTGACCTTAAGGAGTGGAAAAGATCTAGTATAAATTTCGTGAAAAGCCATTGTAGAAGTTGGACCAATTGCTACAGCAATACCACTTGTTGCTGCAGCACCCCCTTCCAGTTGTTTCTAAACCTGCAGAAAACCAAGGATTTGTATCCATGCCAAGTAGATCAGATTTCCCATTAATTTTTTTCTAGTGAAATAGAACCAAAAACCACAAAGTCAAGTCCAGATAGTGTTGTCAAAGGTCCACCACCCAAAGACCATGTTAATACACCACCATCCAAACTAGCAGATAGTACACATACAAGGCCTACTATCCAAAATCCTAAGAAACCAATGATTAACCTAGTTCCACCCTATGTTCCTTACCCACAAAGGTTAAGAACCAAAAGGAGGAGGTTCAATATAAAAGGTTCTTCGATGTATTTAAACAATTACACATCAATATTCCATTGGTGGAGGCAATTGAGACTATGCCTAATTATGCCAAATTTTTGAAAGATATATTGAGTAAGAAAAAGAAATTGATTGAATTGAGACTGTGGCCCTTACTGAAGGATGTAGTGCCCTCTTGTCAAACAAATTTCCCCCTAAACTTAAAGATCCTAGAAGTTTCACAATTCATTGTTCAATAGGTGGGAAGAATGTTGGAAAAGCCTTGTGTGATTTAGGTGCTCGCATCAATCTTATGCCCTTATCTGTATTTAATACCTTAGGGATAGAAGAGACTATGCCAACCATTGTTGTCTTACAGTTAGTTGATGAATCCATAGCATTTCCTAAAGGAAAGATAGAGGATTTGTTGGTACAAGTGGACAAGTTCATATTCCATGTTGCTTTTATAGTCCTTGACTTTGAGGCAGTTAAAGACACTCATATTATGTTAGGAAGACCCTTTCTAGCTACTAGTAGAACCCTCATTGATGTCCAAAAATGAGAGTTGATTATGAGAGTACAAGACCAAAATGTCACTTTTAATGTTTTAACTCAATGAAATATCCTGAGGAGAAAGATGATTGTTCTGTGGTTAGTGGTATAGAGCCATGGTGTTATGAGTAATTTTTAGAGGAAATCCTAGGTGAAAAGATATAACTATCTAAATATAGTGGTGAGGAGGATATTGATCTAGAGGATAGTGATGAGATGTTTCAACTATTAGAAGATGAACCCAACAGAACCCATTGCCATCCACAGAATCCCCAAGCAGACTTAGAATTGAAGCAACTACCTGGCCATCTTAAGTATACAGTTTTGGGAGAAGATAACAAGCTACCTGTGATCATCTCATCATCATTAGAAGAGAAACAGGAAGAGCAGTTAGTAAAAATGCTTCAATCCCATACCAAAGCCATTGGTTGGACCATCTCTGATTTAAAGGGTATAAGTCCATCTATTTGTCAACACAAAATCATTTTGGAAGACAAGGACTTTACCTGTGTTGAACCTCAAAGGAGATTGAATCCTGTGATGAAAAAAGTGGTTAAGAAAGAGATTTTGAAATGGCTTGATGCTGGCATTATTTACCTTATAGCTAGTAGCTCTTAGGTAAGTCCTGTCCAATGTGTGCCTAAGAAGGGAGGAGTGGCTGTAATAGAAAATGAGAAGAATGAACTAATCCCAACTAGGATAGTGTCAGGATGGAGAATATGCATGTACTATAGGAAGCTCATCTAAGCAACCCATAAAGACCATTTCCCCTTGCATTTCATAGATCAAATGTTGGATAGATTAGCTGAAAAAGAATACTATTGTTTTTTTAGATGGTTATTCAAGCTATAAACAGATTGTTATTGCACCTAAGGATCAAGAGAAAACTACTTTCATTTGCCCCTTAGTACTTTTGCTTTTAGAAGAATGTCATTTGGACTATGCAATGCTCCTGCCACATTCCAAAGATGCATGATGTCCATTTTCTCTAATATATTGGAAACCACTATGAAGATATTCATGGATGGCTTCTTTGTCTATGTATCTTCTTATGAGAAATGATTGGGGAATTTAGAACAAGGTCTTAAGAGATGTGAGGAGACTGATTTGGTTCTAAATTGGGAGAAATGTCACTTCATGGTTAAGGAAGGTATTGTGTTAGGACATGTAATCTCAAGGAAAGGAAAAGAGGTAGACAAATCTAAATTAGAGGTTATAGAGAGTCTATCTGAGCCCATAAATATAAAAGGAATAAGAAGTTTCTTGGGTCATGCTAGTTTCTACAGAAGGTTTATAAAAGACTTTTCAAAAAATATTCAAACCTCTCTGTCTATTACTGCAACATGACCAACCGTCAAATTTCAACAAAGAATGTAAATCAGCTTTTGACACTTTGAAGAAGGCTTTGATTTCTGCCCCCATTGTTATCACACCAGATTGGACAAAAAACTTTTGAATTAATGTGTGATGCAAATGATTGGACAGTTGGTGCAGTTTTAGACCAAATCAAGGAAAAGATTTTCCATCTCATCTACTATTCCTGTAAGACTCTAAATGATGCTTAAATAAACTACATAACGACTGAAAGAGAACTTTTGGCTGTGGTCTTTGCATTTGAAAATTTTAGATCCTACTTAATGGAGACTAAGGTCACTATTCATACATACCATCCTGCCATTAAGTATTTGACTTCTAAAAAGTATGCCAAGCCAAGGTTAATAAGGTGGGTGCTTTTGCTACAAGAGTTTGATATTGAAAAAGTGGACATGAAGGAAATAAATAACCAAGTTGTTGATCACTTGTCAAGATTACAGAAAGGAGAATCAAGCTCTGATAAAATCAATAAATATTTCTAGATGAGCAGCTCTTAATGTTGCAGCATTCTACAGCCCCATGGTTTGGAGACATTGAAAATTTCGTGGTTGTTGGGATCATACCATAGAGCTAAATAAAAACCAAAGAAAAAAGTTACTCCATGATGCAAAGAATTATCTATGGGATGACCCTTTTTTGTTTAAATTAGGGGCTGACCAGATCCTTAGAAGGTGTATACCTCATAAGGATGTGCCTGCAGTATTGCAACATTTTCATGTTGCTGCATATGGTGGCCATTGTGGTGGCCAAAGAACTGCAGTCAAAGTCCTAAAATCTGGATTTTTTGGCCCACCCTATTTCAAGATGCTGATAGCTTTGTTAAAAGGTGCAATGAATGTCAAAGGGTTGGATCCATCTCCCAAATACATGAAATGCCCTTAAATGACATTCTTAAAGTTGAACTCTTTGATGTATGGGGATAGACTTTATGGGACCATTTCCCATGTCTATAAACTATCAGTATATTTTGGTAGTTGTAGATTATGTATCCAAATGGGGAGAAGCTGCAGCATGTCACACCAATGATGCAAAGACAGTGGTCAAATTTTTACATAGCCATATTTTTATAAGATTTGGTACTTCTAGAGCTATGATTAGTGATAAGGGTACCCATTTTGTAAACAACATGATGAAAGAAGTTCTTGAAAAGTACAACATAAGCCATAGGGCTGCTACTTCTTATCACCCTCAAACGAATGGCTTAGTTGAACTTTCAAATAGAGAAATCAAGAGTATAATAGAAAAAGTAGTAAAATCAACAAGGAAGGATTGATCCTTCAAACTTGATGATGCTCTTAGGGCCTATAGAACTTCCTATAAAACCCGCCACTGGAATGTATCCCTAAAAGCTAGTCTTTGGAGAAGCTTACCACTAGAACTTGAGCACAAAGCTTTTTGGGCTTTGAAAGAGAGTAATATGTGTGTAAATCCTACAGGTGAAAGAAGAAGGCTACAAATCAATGAGCTTGAAGAGTTGAGGGATCAAGAAATATGAGAATGGAAAGATTTACAAAGAGAAAACTAAAAAATGGCATGATTAGATGATCTCTCAAAAAGAATTTGAAGCAGGTCAAAAGATATTGATCTTTAACTCAAGGTTGAAACTTTTTTCTATGAAAACTAAGATCCAAGTGGACAAGGGCCATTTAAGGTTCAGAATGTCCATCATCATGCAGTAGTGGAACTCATTGACCCCAACAATGGATCCATTTTCAAAGTAAATGGTCAAAGAGTGAAATCCTATAACGATGTTGTAGAAATCACAGGTACCACATCTATGGTACACCTCATTCATTCCTAGAATTTGATGTTGAAGGTTGTCACAGCCATTAAACAGTGTACATATGTAAATACAGTGTTTTGTTTTTGAAGGTTTGGTTAGTTTTATGTTTTTTAGAATAAGATTTTTGTGACAAATGTAC